TATATATTGGGAAACATATTGCATAATCCACTGCCCCATTTACAATGAGATCTGGCCCAAATTATTAATGGCAGATGAACTCAAGGGCTCTGACCTTGAAAAATGGATCTATCTTCTTGCAGATGCATTTCCAACTGTCAGCAACCAAGTTGCTACTCATTTAAACTTAGGAAGAAATACTTAAATTCTTAGCTGTAGTTCTGGCTTTATTCTCTTGTAACCTTTTAAAATCTAATACTTCCTCTATTACTCTACTTTATAATCTCACTATTTTATTGTTTTATTGTTGTTTTATTGCATTTTATGGCATCCCTATATTATGGACTGTGGTTACAACAATAAACCTATTTACTTACTTACATATTGCATAATGTATTTGCAGAGGCATCTGGGGATGTCCAAGAAGTCAAGAAGGCAGCCACAGCTTCATGATCAAAGCCCCAAAATACACGTAAAAAAAGGGGTGGGGCTTCCATTGTGCCATCATGGCCACTATCTTGACCTCTCTAACAACCCCCCCCCCCAAGGCCCTGGTGCTCCCTGACACTGAATTCTCACATTCATCTTTAACAGCTCAGCAGTCCCAGTCAAAGTATTTCCCTCCAAGAGGCCCAAACAATGGTCTTCATGCTGTCACCAATGTTCCACCTTTCTTTTTCATCTGCCCTGCTGGATATTTTTGATGACCCAACCATTTTGACTCTTTTCCTGGGCCCTGGCCTCCCCTCTGAACCTTCTTTCTGTGTCCTTGAAACTCCACTTGAAGTAGCCCAGGATGGACTTGGTCTTTCCATGGAGAGCCAGGAGTTGAAAGGATCCTTTCCTCCTCACCCTTCAATCATAAGGGCTTGAGCTGAAGTATTTGTTTCTCCAAACCTGAATGGGTGCATTGTGATGGGTTGGCCATTGGCTCATGATTTTCTGGCCAGAAATCTTCTCTTTGCTTTGGCTGACTTGTAAAGACTTGAGCTGAATTAGTCTTCAAGGAGGCCCTTTTTTAAGAGGAGATCCTTATGAAATCAAAGCTGGACCTGCTCCCTTCCCTTGCCTTGTGGTTCCCTAAAGAAGACAAGTGGGGAGTTGGTCAGTCATCCTGCCCAGTGTGCCAAAAGTGTGCAAGAGAAGAGATGGAGTCATGAATATGTGTGAAAAGAGCACAGAATGTAATCTGTTACTTGCAGGAGTGTTCATAGGGGATAGGGAAAACAGTCATGATAGCAACCACAACAGTGCAATTGAAGCACTGCCTTTTTAATGTCTGTAGTGACTGCCATCTTGCCCTTTGACCTCACCCTGCAGATACCCCCACCCCATCCTTAGCTGTGCTATGACTATTCTTCATTCTGGCCAAGACATAAGAAATGGGCTGCATTGTCTTGCTACAACTGATCTCATAAAATCCTAGGGTTGGAAGAAATCTTTGGAGGTCTTCTAGCCCAAACCCTGCCCAGGGCAGGAATCCTCAGGCTACTCTGGACAAGGGGCTGTCCAGTCTTTTCTTGAAAACTCCAGTGATGGAACACCCACAACTTCAGGATGTCAGATTCAGCTGGCGCAGCACGGCTAGGAATTTGCCCAGCCGCGCTTAGTCAGTTTCACCGCTCGAGCGCTAGCAAGGAAAGGGGAAGTGAGAAACCGCGAACTGATTAACGGGCCAGCTGGCGCCGCTTAACTAAACCGCAAGCGGATACTTCGTGTCAACGCCAAATTGCCACGGGTGCTGTAGACAAAGGGGAGAGCAGCGGATTAGAGGCAAAGCAATCAGCTCGCGATTGGGAACTCCCGGTTTTGCGAGCAACAGAAAGACCCAACGAATACAACAACCATGCCATCGATAGAAAGCAATCAAGAACACAGAAGAGCTGGACTGAATCTGCCATTTGAGTAAGGGGGGGATTACTGCGGGTAATCTGTAACCAAGCAACAGGGGCTAAGCACGGGAACGGGGAACTATAAATTGTATTGTAAGATGTGCCAAGCCAGTCCTGGCTTTGTCTGTAATTACGTACGTTATGCTTGAGTAAACTTCTTTACTAAACACACGTGTCACGAGAGTTTCTCTGAGTCGAACAGGGTAAACCTTACACAGGAGGCAGTTTGTTCCATTGCTTAATAGCTCTCACAGTCAGGAAGTTCCTCCTTAGTTCAAGTTGGATTTCCACCCACTGGTTCTTGTCTTGCTCCCAGGTGCCAGAGAGAATAAATCTATTCCTTCTTCCCTGCAACATCCCTTCATGTATCGGAAGGCTGCTATCATGTCTCCCCTTAACCTTCTCTTCTTAAGCTAAACAGACCAAGTTCCTTTAACCGCTCTTCTAATGATCCCATTTGATCAACATTGCATTAATCAGAATGGCTTCAGTATATTCATAAAAATGTCCATGCCCTTCTATTCCTTCATCTCAGCCTTCC